GTTCATTGATAAGAAACCTGAACCAATCCCAAAACAACAAACTCCTTCTGGTGCAACCACATACTAGCCAGATGATAAATATAAGATATATTTGTATTTCCATGGGAAAATTATTTAAGCACTTTTTAAGCACAGTATTAATTTCACATATATTTTTATGTTCTGTATTGTTATTCCTCAGCATTTGTTCCCCAACTTACTTCACTTATTGTGAAAATCATTTCTTGAAGTCAGAGGAACTGAGTTCCTGTTTTATCTAGAAAAGCTCAAAGTTACCACAGCATGAAGGCTTAAGTAGAAGATGCAGATTATTTCTCTTCAGGCAAATATTTTACTGTTTCAGTTTTACTTGCCTTTAAAATACTCAGGATAGCTTAAAGAGCAGAGTATTTAATGATTATCTTACCCCACAGAAAAAAGGCTATCAAACTATGCTAACCTGAATTTTAGGTAACTAATGAGTTAACTGTGATGTTTTAGTCTGTCCCACTAGTTTGCTAAATTGTCTAAATCCTGGTACAGTATTGATTTCTCCTTCCATGAACTCACACCCATTCAATAAGCTGCAAGAACCTCTTGTCCTGGTGGAATTCATTCCAAGGTGGAGCCGGGAAGGCTACTCCTGGCCATGGTCTTATAGTAGGACCTGCTCACTAGCTAGTGGGACAGAAACTGCTGAAGTTAGGAAGGAAATGTTATCTGAATGAGAGAAACATAAAGGGGAAAGATGCTAAAAAGTTAAATGAAATTGTAGGTTTTGATATTACAATACCAAAAAGGAAAAAATACTACACATCTATATGTGTACGTAAAAATAGAAACAAAAATCTAGAAGGTTATATAGCACACATACAAGAATAGTAGGTATTTCTAGGTTGGATTTGTCATGATGGGCATAAATTAATTTTGTGATTGGAGAAAATAAAACTCTTTTACCAAAAAGGGAGTAGAAATACAACAATTTTATGGCTTAACATAGGGAGATTTTTGAAGTTCCTCCAGGACTTTTCAAAGAACAACTTTCTGTTTCCTAAGCTTAAAAACACAACATTGACATTTATGAGAAGAAAGGATAGCATTGCAGACTCATTAAGGGTAATGAAAAGATACAAGCAGAACTACAAAAAGAAAATGAACCATCCGAAGGGGATGTTCCTGGGTTCAGTGTCCCTCACGTTACAGGCGCCTGGCTGAGGGAGGGAGAAAGGGCTGCCTGCAGGCCAGTTTCTAAAATGTACAAATCATAACTTCTTAAACAAGGCCGCTCATATTTTTTTTCTTATGCATGACCTAAGATTTATCTAAAACACTATATTTTCGAAACTATTAATAAATGTGCATACAAATAAAATATCTGGGTTTGCTGTGCAGTCAATAGCACCCCCTACACCCCCATTATCTTGAGACTGATTCAAGACAAGACAATCACAGGACTGACAGTTCTTAGAAATAGAATTCCTATTATGGCACAGTCTCACTGCCTCTTAGACTGGTTTAGTCACTTATTTCCTTTTATTATAATGCCAAATGTTATTTAGATTTCAGTCATTTAGTAATGCTACACTGAACACATCAAGGCTTCTGAAAAATTCCATACCTACTAGTCCTTTCATTTTCATAATAACCGCATATCGATAGCCCTTTTCCAACCAAATTACACTACTATTTGAAAAAGAATCTGTGCTTTATCAGAGTTTAAAAGATTATGAGGCAATGAACAACAGTCTTCAAAAATGTTCCTTCGTGTTATTAAGAATTAGAAAATCTTGTTAAAATTCGCTCAGCTTTTAAGAAACATAAGCAGCTTTGGGATGTAGTGCCTGACATGAACTTTTTAAGTAATTCCCTTGGAGCGATCATCTGCATTAGTGAAGATATTTCGTTCAAGGTAGCACCCTACGCTGCTTTTTAGTATTTGAGCAGTCACTCTAATTGCTTTTCTAAGCCAAAGTTTGAGGCTAACCAACACTACAGACTTTTAAGGTTAAGGTAGCTTAACATTCTCTAAAGGTGAAAGCCATACTCACCATCAAAGAAGAGAGAGCCTAATTACACCCCTCTTACCTAATGGGCCCAGATCATTAAGGATGTGAAAAGCAGAGTTTCAAATCTCACTAGTTAGGAGTCCTCGTGAAGGTTAAGGGAAGGAAGCTCAAGTATATGTTTAGTACCTTTCAATCACACTTCAGTGATAAAGGACAGATTCTCTCATAGCTCCTATTATGAGAACTGAGTTCTATTATGAGAACTGAGTTCTAAATTATGAGAATTGAGTTCTAATGGTACACCTAGATTGTTTTATATATGCTAGTACTTCCTAGCAGGCATGAGATTTAGAGCACTTGTATTCAAACATTTGGGTTTGCTGTTTTACCTTCACTTTAGCCTAGGACAGACACCTTAGCACAACTAGTATATGGACTGTGGATATTTTCTTTCCTCAGCACGTGTTGGATGAGACATCAAGCTCAACATGAATCGACAGGATGATCTGGCTTCTAAGAGGATCTAATTCAACCTTAGGCTGCATTAACAGAAGAAGAGTAGCCTATACTGAGAAAGGTGACAGTCCTGCTTTGTAATAATCACAATCCAGCTAGAGGGCTGAGCTCAGTTCTGAGAACCAGATTTTTCTTTAGAGGGTCACCCTCAAACTGAAGCACAGCCATGGTAGCACGATTAAGGTGTTGAGGTGCTTATGAACATGCTACTGAATAGTGGTATGGAATGAGCACTGTTTGACCCAGAAGGTGGGGGGGGGACTTGATATATCTGACTTCATATATTTGAGAAGTTGTAATACAGAAAGAAGAATAAATCTGAAATGTGTTCTTAGAGGGAAGACATTAGATTTTAGCTCCTCATTAGGAATAATGTTCTATTATCTATTAAAACTGCTCAACAACGGGGTGGGCTACTTTGTAAGTTCAGGGGCAGCTTCCAGCAGAGAATGGAAAGGTTACCTGCTGGGTTTGCTGTGGAGGAATGGTTGAGTATGTTTGTGATCCAAGTAAACAAAGTCCACGTTTGCAAGGCCTTCCTTCACACAAAGGCTTAAAAACTTAAATTCTTTTACACTAGATGAATAAGTTTTCCTAATCCAACCCCAGAATGAGAGAATAGAAAACTTTTTCATGCACTGCCTTTCAAATACTCTAAGATATAAACATTTTAATGACATATCTATTCAGTAAAGTCAGTGAGCTGTGGTATGAGACTGTATGACTTCTGCCCTGAACAAAATTATTTTCATTTTTAAAGGGTAAGCCATAGACTTCAGGGCTGGCTCTGTGGAATGGCAGCAGCACACTGCTTGTGTGGAGCTGGAACCATACAGATCGCCGGCTCAGTTCCCTTGTCAACCTGTGTTTAGTGGGTACATGAGCCCCCATTGAGGGTGCTGTGCTTATTTTTTCTGTCTCTCACTCTTAGAAATATATTTTTTAAGATAGGGGTTGGAATCCATCTGTTTAGGGAGCTGGATTCCAAATCCTGGCCCTGACAACTTGAAGAACAAACAGGCACCATATACATGGATATCCAAGATGGAGAAATAGAGAAGAAAGCATTGTGATGTGGTCACATCCCATTAGGCAATTAAATAAAAAAGAAGTTTAAAATATTCTCTTTTCTCATGCATGGACCTTACTGAAAAAGGATGTTCACCAATGCTACAGAATAATGAATGTACTAGAAGCTTCATCAACTTCCATGAAGAAACATGGGTTAGTTCAAAATGGAGTTGAAATGTTTCTTCCTTTCTGTGTGAGCAAACATACTGAGATTTTTTTTTCCCCTAGGCAGGCCAAATTGAAGTATTTTTCTCAGAAGTATGTAAAGTTATTTTACTATCAATCTTAGATAGGTTTTCCCATTTTTCTTTCTAATAAAATGCTTTGGTATTGTGAATCTATTTTAAAACAACAGATCAAGTAAAGTACTAGCATCTTTAAAGAGTGCAAAAATAATTTCCCAAGTAAGCAAATAAAACTTTGCACTTCAAATCAGGCCTTGATTCATTAAAAATCTTAAACTTCTCATGAGAAAAATTAACATTTAAACCACTGCTGCTTGGCCAAGCACTCCACCACACAAGAATATGAAATATCTCCTCTAAAAAAGTACAAAAAGGACAAAACCACAAATGTGGAACTTCAATTAATTTAAAGCCCCAATCAGCAAAGAATAAATCCTTCGCAGATCTAATTACCAGCGCTCTCGGAAGACCCAGGCCGACCAGCCAATCTTCCCCGTGTTTGAACAGCTTGATGAACTAGGGGACTGATGGATATCAAGTCATTTTGTTTAATTTATAAATGGATTTTCCCCTAATACTTAAATTATCATCAGTACAACACAATGAAAATGGGAACATTCTGAATGCAAAGTCTATAAGAGTCCTGGAAGGAATCCCAATGAGGAATGTCACCTCTGTTCATTCCTCTATACAATTGATCTAATTAAATACTGAGGGTGGAAAGGCAGTTTAAAATGTAGCCATTTCTGTTTTCTTTTTAGCCTTAATTTATCTGTTCACATCTTTCAAGTACCTTCTGATGCTTAAAAAAAAAGAAACCAAGGTTTCTGCAAGGCCCTAATACTTTTAATTCTGCACAAGCTAATATTCAAACTGCCTCTGCCACAGATTCTGCTGAATAATAAATAAGTGCATTACATTTAGCCATGGTTAACAATAAAAAGGAAGGGGGGTATTTCAAATCAGAAGCTTTTCCCTCCAGTAATTTGAAAGAGAAACTGAAGGAACTAGTACCTTCTTTATGTATTGCTCAACTGAAATTAGATCTCTGGATTATACTTATTAAAATGTCTTCTTATTTTCAAATCTCTTCCTTATTTAATTACTGCATGGGACTGAAAGCTGCACAGAATTGTTAAATACCCTTACACCTATTTATAGTCTCTTCACATGGGTAACTTGAGCATATTCATTTGGCAAAGGTCCTGCCCACCAACCCACACGTTGGGTTTGCAATTCCCACCTGGCTCTGGGGTCTCTGACTGAGAGGAGGAAGATGCTGAGCTGGCTCCGTCCTCGGCGGTGCCCTGGGAGAGGAGACCCCGCCCTGGTGGGAGCTTCATGCCCAGCTGCTCTGCCATCTCCACGTGGTCCCCAGGGTGGACATAGTCAAAGACACTGCTGCCTGTCAGCTCCACCTAGAGGGGGAAGAGAAAGGGTGGGAAAGACAGATGTCAGAGGCTTTTCCATTTATAAATTCAGTACCACAGTCATTCGATTGAGTAGAAAGAGAAATACATATACTCAGGTCTCAGAAACAATCCTGGCTCTAAGGCTTTAACTTCAAATACTTAAGGATTCTGGAAGTTGAAAGAGCTATAAAAATCTTTTTTGGTTTGTTTGTTTTCGCATGTATTTACTTAGCAATTGTTTAGCCCGTTCTTTTTTTTTTTTCCTCCTACACTGTTGTTTGCATAAAGCCAAAACATTCTCTGAAATGTGGACAAGTCTGCCTGGCATTCAGCTATTTTATCCACGCATCATCAAATACTTGCATGTTTGGTGTCAACAGGATGATTGACTGAATTCTACAGTTTCCTTATTGAGAAGTTTGGCCTTTGTATGGAAACAGCTATAGAAACAGCAGAAGATAGCGAACGAGTATTCTCCTCTAAACACACAGATTTCCAAGATGCATTTTACACATATCATCTTATTTCTATGCAAATTTAAATGTTAGGAGTGCTGCTTACAAGTATATGCAAAGGCATAATGTTTTCATTAAATATTACTCATTAGTTCTGTAATCATATGGAGAATTTTCCATGCAAAAGAGGTCAGCTGGGGTCTGAAGCAGCCATTTTTTTTTCTGCTGGTATCAGCTTGTTTTGCCTTCAATCTAATAAAATACACAGTACAGATCTCCTTGAGGGCTTTTTTTTAAAAAAAAAAAAAGTTTTATTTTGTGTACTCTTTGAATTAGGCTGCCTCTAAAGGAAGAGAATGAATATCAAACATCAGAAACATTTCAGCCTGAAATGAAGGCACTACCTTATTTCAGTGCTGTCAGACATGACCTGTGTGTCTGGCTTGTGAGCTGTTTGAGGGGGCAGAAGTTGCTGGTAAGGATTGGCCTTTCCTCTGTACTCTTCTAATGTTCTAACTTTTATCTCCTTCTAAGAATAGCAATAATGCTGCTAAGGCAATGTACTTGGGTTATGGGTATTACAGCAGGGAGTGATGGATCTGTGACAGGACAAGCAAAGGCTCTTTCCCAGGTCACTAATGGGTTTCCCAGTCCTCTGGAGTGTACTGGTCTCAGGCCAGCTATGAAGAACCACGGAAGCTGCCACAATGTCAGACTGTCACAAGTTTCTTGGTGGACATTTACCTCCAACCCACCTACCTCATTTCCCTTTCCTGTGTAATTTCTAGCATCTCTCTAAATTCCACCTGAGTGCCTGAACTCTTTTTTTTCTGCCAAGAAGGCTGGCGGAGGAAGATCTGTCACAGAGAGCGTAATACTCAGAGCAATTATGATCCCCACAACTCCAAGTGCTGGTAAAATGATCGCAGCTACTCCCAGACACCATTTGATTAAAATCTTAACAGGCTATACATCTTCAACATCAATCAATTAACAGAGGTATAGCCAGAAATATAGGAGACTAAATTCAGTTTGGTTAATAGCTATTCCTGAAAAAAGGTTCACATAACTTTTACCGAAAATGAGGTACTTTCTCTTGCTATTAAATTACATTCTCCTACTGTATTACCCAACTACTGACTATATCATTTTACAATACCTATTTCCTCCATTTGGTATTGTTACAGAGTGTAAATCGGGATTCACAGTGATCAGCTCCTACCCTCTGGGAGGGGGGGATTACATAGAAATAATCCCTTTAATGTGCGCCTTGCCTCTAAGCACTTCTCACAGTAATAAATGGGTAAACTGACTTTGAGCAATTAAGAAATTAAATGAAACTAATAAAATGTATGTTTTAATATTTCTTGATGGTTATTTTGTTTGGGGATTAGTGAATATGAGGAAGTCGCTCTCATTTTCCATGGAGTCCAAATGCAGCACTTTAATATTTCTGTCACTTTTCTCAAACTCCGATTTTTTTTTCTTTAATACTGCAATGTGCCTTTTGGCGAAGATTGCGATGAGATGACAACAGAAGTGGGGGACATAAAATACATTTTGGGGGGTTCAGGTTATTGAATATTCATGTCTTACAGAGAGGAAGAACAGGCCACTACCTCTACAACTGGATTTCCTTTCCAGAAAATAATGTCCTGAGTATGGGACACCTCTAGAACAATACTGAGTCACAATGTCTCATATTGCCTTGTGGCATGGGGAAGATTTTCTCCTCCAAGGGCCTCATGGGTTTCCCTGCATGATACCTTAAAGCCTGATCTTTTTTTTTTTAAAGAATTATTTTATTTCATTTATTATCATCATTATTATTTGTTCAATTTGACCAGAGAGAGACAGAGAGAGAGAGAAAGTAGGAAAGCAAGCCTCCAGGTCTGGGACTAGAACTGTGGTCAGCCATGTGGGAGTCCCGTGCTTTAACCACCATGCCACCTGCTGACCCCCTTAAAGCCTAATTTTGATGGGGAAGTTGACACTGAGAATCAACACCATCATAGTCTTTATATACTGTAGTGAAGGCCATATGGTGTAGAGAGGAAAGCACCAACTATGTGGAGATGTAACTGGACTTGCAGATCAGAATGTTTTCTTCCTCAGCTGTGTGACCTTGGACAATTCATTTAACCTCCTTGGGCTTCAATGTTGTATTATAAAAGGGGCAACAGTATTCTTCTTCAGATCTTTGGAGAACACCCAAATTGTATTCCACGTGGAGACCATCTCTGCAAGGCAGTGACACTGAAGACTGGGATAAGAACAGTACTGCTTTACCTGCCTCACAGCCTAAGTTTGAAACGTCAGTGAAACCATGCAGAGGAAATAGCTTCGTGAGAATAAGACCTTCCCAAATGCCTGCTGCTGCTGTGTAGTGGGTAAGAATGGATGACACATGGAGATATATCTTCCTCTGTAACTCCGTGTTGGCTCGTTGAGACATCTCTTTAACCAGTAGAGGGTGCAGCAGGGGCAGTCCATGCTTTGAGCTCTGACAACTCTAACAGCTACATACTATGTGCAGGTACTTTTTACAATGTTCTGATTCATCCTGAAAACAGTCGTTTGAATGGTATGAGTGCCCCATTTACAGAAGAACCTGAGTACTGGAACAGAACAGTGGTAGAGACAGAATTTGGTTCAAGGTTCTTGACTTGACCTACTACCTCTCAGGAAATAGTGTCTGCAGCCGCAGAGGCTAAGCAACAACCTCTGAGGTCCTCTACCTTTCAGACTCAATTTTAACAGGAGAGAGCACTATTGGGTGAGAACCATGAAGAGGGAAACTGAGGGCAGGTAGTTTGACAAGCTCCTGGGCTCCTCTGCCATTGGACTTTGGATCAAAAGAAGGCATAAAAGGAGGTGTACTAAACCAAAATAGATATGGGGTTACACAAAAATTTACTTATACATGCACCTCAAATCATTATCATTTCTATCATATTTTACATATATCTAACACTGTCAACATTTTTCATACTACTTTGACTTCACTTATTTTAATTCTAGAGCTAGGAGAGACCTTAAAACCCACCCATCAATGACCTTTTATTCAATACCCCTTTATTTAACAGGTGAGAACTCTACAGTTCTGAGAAGTTAAAATGCTTTTTAAATTTAACCGAGCTGTTTGGTAGTAGCAGTAGAAGCAGAGTTTTAAGACCAAATGGCTTACTCTTGTTCCACCACTTTGTTCACTAAACATTTGCCTTGTCTTTTCCTTATGAAGGCTGACAAGGTAACAACACAGACTAGAACTCATGTTTCCTGGCACTAAATTCTGTGCCTCAAAATACACTACAAAAATAGAGACTGGGAACTTTTTTACTTGATATACAGACATCACTTTGTAATGGTTTAAAGTAGGAAAAATAAATAGAGCTACAATCTAGTGTTAATTAGATACCTTTAAATTCCCAGTTACTGACTTACCCTATTCTTTTGTCCATTGAGAACCAGTATGTAGTATGTCTATCATCAATGTTTATTGAATGAATAAAGGATGAGTATTTAGGGTTGAAAAAAGTTTTGCTTTTTTCTTGTGCTTGATTTGATCAAGTTGAAGTTGGTTCTTTTACATTATTCATGGCATTAGTATAACATTAGTTAAACAACTTACAACATAGCACTATAATATGTTGATTCTCAGTAAGTGCAAGCTATATGCAGTAAGGCCTATTCCTTTTTTTTTTTTTTTTTTTTTTTTTGGGGTTTTTTTTCTAT